GTAAAAGGCGCTATATAAAAATAAACTGAACTGAAGTATTCTTTAGCAAAACACTGTACATGACTCAGTAAAGTAAAAAAATTACCTCTGTAAAAGCCCTTCTGAATAAGTACGGCACAAATGCAAGATGCTCTCATGAACAAAAAATGAGAACGCAGCAAAATAAAATAAGTTACCAATCTGAACTGCACAGTGCAAGTATGTAGGCACTATGTGGTAAGTCTGGGTTGTCGTGTCTGACCATAGCATACGAGATTCTTGACAACAAACCTCTCGTTGATTTTTCTTCTTTAGACAAAAAGGAGAAATATCACAAAAGAACTTGTGAAATTATTATATTCATAAAGTGCCTTCCCAAAACCAACATGACAAAGTACATAGTGATAAAGAAAAAAAAAGTAAAAGAGAAAATAAACAAGAGCATACAGGTTATATAGATAGAATGTAGGGCAATCAGACATAGGCCCTGGTAAAAAGATGAGTTTTGAGTTTAGATTTAAAGAGAATCAAAGAACTTGTCTCCTGCTGCATTTAAGAAAGGGCATTGCTAAACAATGGAGCAGCGACACAAACGATAGTCGCCAAAAGTCCGACATTTAATCCTAGGTATAGTGAGCCTCAGCTGAACGGGGCCTACATGAGGGATTTAAACATGGAGGAAAATAGAAACTTTAATATTACTGACGTGTCTACTGTACAGTTGTATGCAAACGTTTGTGCACCCCTGGTCAAATTGCATGTTTCCCAGAATCTCTAATCGGGGAAAAAATGTTAACAACCACTGCAGGGTACGGACAATCATATTTCTGCACATTTTAATGCACAATTACAATTTATTTACTGAATTTAACAGATTGAAAAAATAAAGCAGTGAATGTGACATATTCAAAAGTTTGGACATCCATACAGTTGATTCATTAATACTTTCTTTTAAGGTCTCAAAACTTGATTGACTCTTTAGGCATTAAATTACGCCAGTTGAAGACAATTCCAGAGTCTAATAAATACTCGGACCCTTCTAACCTCACAGGATGTCGTCTACTCTCAACAAGCATGGTTTCTTCTAAGCAGTTGCCTGAAGACTTGAAAATAAAGATAATTGTCTCTTACAAAGCAAGGGAAGGCTATAAAAAATATCTAAATGCTTCCAGCTTGGAATTTCCACTGTCAGAAACATCATTAAGAAATGGAAATTAAGGGGAACTGTTGAAGTCAAGGCAACATCTGGAAGTTGTTCTCTGATATAATCAGAGATAATCTCTGATAGAACTGCTCATAAACTGGTCAGATATGCTCTGCAGAACCCACATACCACTGCAAAAGGCCTGCAGAAAGGTTCATCTGGCACCGGAGTAGTGGTTGGTTACACAAAATGCTCTGCATGGTGAAGCATTTCAAGAAAAGAACGCCTTGCCAACTGTTAAGCATGGGGTGGATGTGTTATGCTTCAGGGTTGTGTAGTGGTCAGTGGCACATGAAACACTGTGCTGGTGGAAGGAAGAACGGATTCAACTAAATCTCAATAAATCCTAGAAGCTGATGTTCCACAGCAAGTGAAGAAACTGAAGCTGAAAAGAGGTTGGATATTTCAGCAAGAAAACAATCCAAAACTACTTCCTGGTTGATTTTGAAGTATCTCACAGAAATGAAAGATTCAATTTTTTGGAAAGGTCTTCACAGTCCCCAGACTATTATTGAAAATCTGTGGGAAGATCTCAAACACGCAGTGCATGCAAGAAAACCCAAGAATAGTTCTGAACTAGAAGAGTTCAACAAGGAAGAGGGGGGGGGAAGAATTCTAAAGCAAGTATAGCAAGACTCTCAGCTGTCAAAAATAAACATTTGGAAGATGTCATTTCTGGCAAAGGTGTTACCAAGCACTGATTAACAGGGTGCCCAAACATTTGCACATGCCATATTCACTGTTTTATTTTTATTTTTTTGGTTAAATTCAGCAAATAAATGGTAATTGTGCAGAAATATGTAATGTTTACGATTGTACCCTGTAGAGATTGTGTTCTTTTCACTTAAGAGATTCAGTGAAACATGCAATTTGACCATGGGAGTCCTAACTTTTGCATACAACTGTACTGTATATTTAAACCCACGGGCATTTTTCTTCAAAACAGGTATGTTTTGAAAAAAATATTACAGCTGTGTCCAGGTTTCCTGGAATTTTCATGAGGGTTTTACACTGTTTTAGCTGGGACACTGATCTTATTCAAAGTATCACAATGCACATGTACCAGCAGGCCAATCGCCACAAATGTACACAGGAGTGCTCAATCATTATTGATACATTAATTCGAGCAGGTACATTTTTGCATTTCCAATAGAAACGACCAAAAGAGACAGATTTCTATCTCCCAGAGTGGGACTGCACCTTTCTAGTGCAGGAAACACGCACAAACACACACACGCGCACATGGAGACTACTGAGACACCAGGTATCCCAGCCAGCATGTCTTTGGGAAGTCAGAGCACCTAGAGGAAACCCATAAAGCATGGCAAAAAAACTTGCAAACTCCTTGCAAAGAGACAGCCCAGGCCAGAATTACACTCAGGTTCCTAGAGCTGTGAGACAGCATTGCAAATCTCACCAAGCTGACTGCCTGTATTTCATGTTTTGTTTTCAACATACCAGAGCTTTTACTCAAGAAGCTAAGCGGTCAGAGTATTTTTTACTCCTGGGGACTCATGAATTTCCCCAAGCGCAGACGGCTCTCATCTGATCTCTCTTCTCACACAGCTTCAGGGAAGCAAGCAGACTAATTGGTGCTGCAGCTGCCATTTTCCAGGGCTAATAAAAGCCTGAAGGGCCCAGGACTACAACAGATCTATCAACACTTAGGCATTTAAAATATGTTTTGCAAAGCAGGCATGAAACTTAACACCCATTTTTAGCTAACCTTTCACACTGACTGGATCAATGGATTTTTCTTCCCTAAAGAAGGAGTTTTTAAAAGTATTTCAGGTATTTAAAAGGACAAACAAAACAGGCGTAAAATTTTTATTCCAGGTATTTTAATTCTGTCACTTCTGGAACTACTATTCTTATGACCTGAATCCTGAAGGCATTTCCCGAGAAGTTTACATCATTGTGTACATCAAAAGAGATCTGGCATTCAGATGTTTTTTCATGCAATTTCAGTTACTACTTTTCAGTAAACAGTATTAAACAGTATTCTGTCAACCTTTAATGACTGAGTTACAATGATATTAAACTGGACTTACACTTCCTAAAATGTCTCTGCAATGTTTTGTTATAATAACTTTGTTCTGCTAAGCTGCATTTTGCTACAAATGGCTTAAGTACTCACAAAAACCTTAAGCTAAAAAGATATTCTTTTGATTTTCTGCTTAATGAACAAGAAGCATTATTAATACAGACTGCCTCTCTGAACTTATTTGTAGTCCCTTGCTTTATTTAAAAAAATGCTGGGTGCAGGAATCTGCATTGTCCAACACAAAATTAATATGCCTGCATTACTTTACATAAAGAGTTGTGAGTCTAGAACAAGTTGTGAAACTTTTGGTTGAAGCCAAAACTCTGGCTTCTCTCAAGAAACAGCTGTAACTAGTAACTACATGATCCAGATGGAGTGAAGGACCTTTCTTATCACCTTATGTTGTGGTTTGCATTTGGTAAGACCCATTATATATATACACAAGACTGTATGAGGTCAAACTAAATAAGTAATACGTAGTGCATACTTTAAAAGGGAAGGAGGGACTTATTTTTTTTCCCCCCAAGCACAAATACTGAATCTCACATCACTACAGTATCTGTCTGAGAGTCACCACAGGCATCACAGCCAGGAAGTGCCAGTACAAGACCCTGAGCTATGACATGCCCAGAGCAGCTATGACCTTATAAAAGTTCCTTTAAAAAACCTACTGGAGGTGGAGGTGTCATTAAAAACAATACTTCTTGCTATATTGTTTTTCCTTTCACTGGTGCGCCCAATCATTATAAGATGCTAAAATTAAAATATCATGGACAGCTGCAAATATCCCCACTTGAAAAGTTCGTTACCTTTAATTATCGGCAGTGGAATTGCATGTTTTTCTACTGAATTTTGAGTTAACACTGTATTACAGTGCTAAGCTATCCTTAGATTTTTCATCATTAGTTTAAAATGTATGAATTATTTTGTAAACATTTACAAAAAATGTAAACAGATATACTGTATGCATGCACATATTTAATTACAAATCTTGCAACTGCCGTTTAACTATACTGACTTGTTTATTTTGGAGATGTGTTCTTGCTTTCTTTTTTGTACTTATTCACCCCCGGGAAAAGACGGCTACTTCTCTACTAACACAATAATGACTAGAAAGGAACAGGTAAAGAAGAAGGTTTCGGCTGTGGACCATAAATAAAAGGCTGCATAGTTCAAGGAAAACGACATTCAGTTTTTCAAACTAGAGTGGCTCTGCAATGAATAAAACAGGCATATATCTTTACAGTACGTTGCTACAGTAATAAAAGCTATATTAAGTTTTCACGATGCATTGGAAAAAGTAGTGTAAACCGTGCACAAGGCAGTCAGTCCATGAGTTTTACGAATACACACACCCCGGTGATTCTGCCTTGTTCCTGCCTGCGCGGATCCACATAACGCACAAACCCACGACAGAAGACATGATTTATTTTCTAATTCTCCCTGCAGAGCTATGGAGTTGTCAGAATACTGTACTGTACATAAGCTTATTTCAAACATTTAATTGAACAAAATACTGTACATCCAGGGACACCCAAAAAAGTTCAGCTTTCAGAATTTTTGCCCTGAAGCTACATTATGCACAAACAAAATACCCTTTTGCAAAAGTTTTGAAAAAAAAAACGTTTTTCTTGGAATTTCTTTTGAGGATTTCAGTCCACATACTGTTGAAAGTCTTTTCTGAGAACATACACATCACGACATCAATTAAGCATCATATTTTACTATTACATATTGTTAAGTTCTGCAGGCTAAGCGCAAACTGAGCCTTACCTGGTGCCATGGCTGAACTGTGGAGAGTGGAAGATGCGCTCGCTTGTGTTCGCTTGCAGTGCTGCTATGGACACAGCGAGACCAAAGTCCGCTTTATAAGCGCGTCTGAAACACGCGTCACTGGATTTTTTAAGCAACAAACACATCTCATCTAACCCCAGGAAAACTTTTTTTTTCCTTCAGGAAACATTTTTTTTCACTCAAACACGTCTTTTCTCATCCACCTCTTTTTCCTCAAAGTGACCCTTTACTTAAGAAAAAAAGTAGGTAAGAGCGTAAGGCGGATGCACATGCATCACCATGCGGCGACTTTTTTAACTTCTCTTCCCATCTTCAGTGACCGAATGTGGTCAATGAGTGAACGACAATGACGTTCAGCCAGGAAGACCAGAGTGAGTTCACGTTTTAGGAGGGTCACGAACTTCTTTTTTTCACGCAATACCAAATTTTAAAATGAAAGTTTTTATGAATCAGAGAAAATCATTGTCCAGTGGCACACCACGACCTGTGACAAACCTCTCATTTTAAACTTACAAATACCAAAAGCTGTAAATTAAGTGATATTTGTCAATGATACATTAATTGCTCAAGAAGACTGACCTGCTTTTGGTTCTTTGTGAGTCCAAGTCGTGTTTTTAGTACAGTTTTCTTTTTTTATTTTTGCGTGCTAACATTTCCTGAACTAATGAATAACATAAGGGAGACGACTGGTTAATATTTCGACCAGTGAAAACAAATATGTGCAATTAATGACTCGAGAGTCGATAGTCAGAAGAAATAGTTGACGGGTTTTCTGTGAAAGCAACACACAGGATAAATCCCCTTTATTATATGCAGTTTTTTGATCCACACTAACACTTCGGGTTAATATGCTGGAGTTTTTATACACATGCTGCTCGGTTTGAAGTCAAAGGTGTGATTGATTTAAAAAGGGTGATTATATTTAGAAAATGCATTTAATTATAATATTGTAACTAACCACTACCACATTCTTGACAAGTCCCCAAGTGCTATCTGAATGTGAAAAAGTGTTCAGGTTCATATTTGGCATCCCCCTGAATTCATGCCTGGCAATGGTCACCTTTGTACAAGAAACAACTTTGTTGCTTTCCTATAACTATACTAAGTACTAAGTCAGTGAACACCAGCATTACTGTTGATTTCTTGTGCTGTTCATTTTTAATCTAAAAATAATTTAAATCTTTGTTTTATGGCTTCATTTAATTTTTGTGATCATTTTCAATATGAAGTGTGCATTTTGTGTTTAGGCACAGAATGTTATCACCTGACTATTGTAACAACTGGGGGAAAACAATTTTTTCGTGTCAACATGACTCATTTCAGATCACTATTGTAGCACAGTACAAAACTGTTTAAGAGCTTCACTAAAATATTTGAAAAAGATTTATCATTAAGGATAACATTTTATTGGTAATGTCACAGGTTATTAAGGTTATTATCCAAATTAGAAAGGAACAAGATATCTGATCCATCTGGCTCTAATCAGGACAATAATGGGAAATTTCTAGAAAATGAGAATGTTACTTAGGTGTTCTCTAAGGAAGAAGTCAACACCATGCCTCAGAAAGTGGAAGGATAAAGTTCTGTATTAATGGAGCTGTTAAACAGAAGTTCGAAAAGAATTCAAACTGTAATCTTGTACTTACATTGTATTATGTCTAAATATTTTACCTGCAGAGCACCTCTTTGCGTGCATTTTTTTTAGTGCTCAGTGTTCTTGCATTTCCAAAGACAGACATCTCCAGAACAACTGTGTCCCCTTCCTCTGCCATTTCACTTTCTCTCTCCCTTCCTGATTAATTTTCCACAATTCCCAATTTCTTCCCCTTTCTCTCCATTTCCTTTACCAACTGAATGTTCGACCCCCTTCTCCAATCTCTTTTTCACTGATCACAGATGTGCTGCCCAAAGGTTGGAAGCACACAAAAGCACTCTACACTGGGTCTAGTCTCCTCATTCTCTTCCCTCCCCGCCCCTGGTGTCCAAACCAGTTGCAGCCCCATTGAATACTGCTATAGGTCCCCAGACTTCTTATACCCCCTCTGCTAATGTCCAACTGGTGCAGTGTTGGACCTCAACTCTGAATTCTGCCACCCCGTTTCCACCTGCATCCTACAATTTATCAATTGTTTAGGTATGTAGACATTTCAATTATATTTGAACGTAGGAAAAAACAGAGTAAATTTTTTAAATTTAGTAAGTAAAGACTTAAGATTTAATAGGTTTGTTCCATGCTGAAAAGATCACAGACAGAGTGGCCAATCAGGTAGTGTGAAGTCAGGATAGGTGAAGAGGTGTGAAATGAGACCTACAATGAATAGAGAGAATTTAGAAGAAAATTAGTCTGTCGTTGAGAGAAGGGTAAAGGTGAGATCCTACATGTAGCTGCAGGATAATTTTAGTTTCTGTAGTTGTAGTTCTGATGTTGGAGTTTGGAAAACCAGCTTTGAAAACACAGACGGATAGATTAGTATGATCCAGACTTAACATTTATATTAAAAAGCCATCTTTGAGATTTGTTGGTCAATTCTTATCACTGTAGCGGCGACGTTTACTAAAATACAGGTTTACTAAAATACACATCAACCACCTTAACAAATGTCAGTTCGGCGCCTAAGAGTCTGAGATTCCAAGGGAAAGTGTTATTCAAGTTGTAACCAATATCATTTACGAAACGGTCTAAATGAATGATATACTAAGCGTATGTCCCTCTTGGTATTTGTAGCTCTTCATGACTGAATGAATATACCTGTGTATTCTGCTAACCCTCATGATAAGATCTGTTATGTTTATATGCACATTTTCTGTATTAATAAATGTATTTTAGTGTATTAGTACCCGTGTGTGTGCGTTGTTTGAGATATCCCGCAAGGGTGGATTCTAATACCATTAAAAGAATCATTTTGTGACTTACTGCCACAATTAATAATTGTCCCAGTTAAGCACAAAGCCCTACATTTACTGGTGTCTCATAAGAGGATGCTACATTAATTGGTGGCCCGTACGGGGAAATGGAAAGATTGAAATGAATCAACCAAGCGGAATAATTCAAAAAGAAAATGTCGCGGGTTTCGTGCATGACAATACAGAGTGTGCTGAAAGCCAAAAGGAAAAACGTTCCCCTTTCTCTTTAAGCTACTGTGCTTGATCTAGGTGATCTAATGTGTTGATTGCATGCTTGATCTTGTGGTTTTCTGTGGAAAAACTGTGAGTTCGTACTTAAAAGTAATACTCTTAAGTATTCTCTGGAAATGGAGGAGCAGCATCAGCAGCTGCATCAAATCTCCCCAGATTTCCAGGATGTTGGTGCTCAGGATGCCACACGGCAGACTGAGAAAGACACCATGTACATGCTGCGCCAGCTTAGAAAGGCAACAGTCACTCAGGAAGAGATGACTGGGATCAGCCACCCTAAAAGACTTGGGAGGACTGATTGCTGCCGCCACTGTTGTGGATTTGCTATTTTTGATAGGTTTGTTTGCTACTGGCACTCTCGCCCTGACTGCCCCAAGAAGTAGTAACAGGGTGTATCAACAGCAGCAAAAGTTGGAAAGCCTAGGGAAAACCCTACAGGCAGCTTTCTATGCAACAGGGTTAAATCTTATCCCCCACCTAGTGGACATGATTGTCAGTGTTATACAGTGGGTTTACGCTTATGTGCAACAGGCCAGAATATTGACACAAGACCTGTTAAGGGAGCTTAGTGCCACTGTAGCCAGTCTAGCCGTGGCACAATTCCCAACCCACTTGATTCCACTATTCTCAGTAGAGGAGCATATGACGTTAACTACCCCATCGCTCGTAGCTTACCTAGAGATGGGTATGGCTACCAAAGCTATCCATTGGCTGTGTCTAAATGATCCACCAATGAAGGGTGTAAAGCTACTACCGAGCAGAGGGAGGTTAATGGACCCCATGGAGAGCAGGTGGGAAGTAAATGGCTGGTCAGCATACCACATTTAACTGTCACTATGACTTATGACAGGCATGATGCAGCTACCACAATGCAGCTTCCCAATCAAACAGTTTTTTTGCAGGTTCCTGAGGAGGCCATAGTACAGCTTGGTGACTTAACACTGTACTGTCTAGAAACAGACAATAAGACTAAACTTGAGGTTGTGGATGCCTTCAGGGGCCACACTATTGAATCGGATCGAAATCCAAGAAACAATAAGCTGTGAAGGGGTACAGGTAGTTTAGCTTGCTTTTAATGGAACAAACCTCCAAACCACCCTAGCAGGTGCCCAACACAGTGTTGTGGTTCATCAGGGGGGCTGGGAACAGGAACTGTTGTTATTGTAACACTGCTGCTGGGTAGCTGGATCATGACTGACAGTGTACTCTGGATGCTGTACTCTCACATCAAAATGTACCCCGGGTAGCATGAATGTGTCAAAGGTAGCATGTCAAAGAAAGGAAGTGTCTTCTTCCAAAATATCTGCCTATTACAGAGATCAGATATTGACAGTTAACTTCCTGAAGTGTAATGCCTAGACTGAGATGATGTCTCCTACCTTGTTTATACATACTCCAGATTCATCATGTTTGTTTCCAATGCTGGTTCCTGTATGAATTCTCGAGGAGTAATGTGGACATTTAAGGTTAATGTTCTAAAAACAAGGGACATCACTTAACCCTGTTTTGGTTTGAAGACAACAACGTCTCAAGACCTTGTGACCTTCAAAAAGGGGGGATATGTAGCGCTGAGGCTTACTAAAATACAGGAATTAAGTTTTCTGCTCCCTTGCCAGTTTTGCTCTCCTTCATCTCAGTAGTGCCTGATACAGTTCACAATTAAGGTGTTTTTCTAGCTGATAGAGTGTCCTGTTAAGGAGCAGCTCCCAAAAGCTGGTACACATCAACCACCTTAACAAATCTCATTTTGGCGCCTAAAAATCTGAGATTCCAAGGGAAAGTGTTATTTAGGGTTGGTTTACAACCCTAAGGTCAGAGTGCATGGTTACTCATCATCAGCCAATTAGGAACTGTTAGGGCAGGTTAACCCCACGTGTGTCTCTGATGCCCATGAAACTTTCAACCAATGAACAACCTGCAGTTCCTCTAGGTAAAAACAGGCAACACAGATCGCCTGTAGGACGGTTCGCAGGGAAGCACAAGTTGGGAAGCCCAGAACAGTTCCCAAGGGAACACAGTTTCCAAGCACAGAACATTCTCGCACCTCCTGGACACTCATACTCAGCCCGGACCACCACGTAACGGCCAGTGTGTCCGAGTGCCAGAACTTTCCTTTGTTCTAAGAGTCGGGAGCGGAGGTTGCCAGCGCGTAACCAAAG